TGGAAATTGTGAACATTGTGTCTTTTTTAAAGTGTTGTCTTTGTCTATTTATCCCCCTTCCCTTGTCTGCTGTGAGCCACCCGGAGTCCTCCGGGAGTGGGCGGCATACAAGACAAATAAAATGAAATGAAATGAAAGTTGGGATTTTCCCCTCCTAATCCAGCTTTTTATCCACTGTGCCTCAGTGGTTCATGGGCATCTCACTGTTAAAACTGCCATAAAAACCATTACTGTGCTAAAATTAAACAAAAACAGCAGAGTGTCTTTAACATAACTTAAATCAGAGAACCAGGTGCACATGGAAATGAAATTGTGCTCTCACCTCAGGCACCATGACAAGACCAAAGGTCAGCCCGAATAGTACTATATTTATTCCATACATCCATCGCAAAAATATGAAGTAAGATGCAACCGAAGAGCCAAAATGACCTGTGAAATATTCAGATAAAGGCAGGTAAAATGAAAAAAAAATCTGTCCTTTAAAGGAGAATAACCTGATAAAATGTTTAAGTGGATTTAACAAATTAATATATCAGCAAATAACATTTTTTCCATGAATATAACATTTTGATATGATAAAACCCACAGAAGAGTACAAAGGTAGGCTTTATATGATAATATTTGGGCAGAATTTGAGAAAAAATAGTTTTCAGCATCCTATATAGAAAGACTTATTTTTAAATAAAAACTGGAATAATAGTAATTTTAAACAACAGAATATAAACTTTAGAAATAAAATTAGCAGATTAGGAAATTAAGATTAACAAGGTAAGAATAAAATTATAAATTTAAAAGTGTATTCATGTGCACAAAACTAGTCAGCTATAGCTATAGTAATGGAAGCACAGATTTACTGTCCCTGTATTTATGTTAAATAGAGTTTTCACATATACACCATCCTTTTCTTTAAATTTTTAAGCCTTGTTATTTTGCTTAATTCTATAAAATCCCAGAGGATCTCCAGGAACATGCACAAAATTATTTCAAAAGGATAATTTCTGTACAAAAATAAAGCCAAAATGTCATAGCTTGCATTAACTTTGGTGTAAATAGTTCTTCTGGAAAGGCTGATTTGTTATTTAGTATATGGTTAAGACACCAGTCTAGAAACCAGGAGACTGTGAGTTCTAGTCCCATCTTAGAAACAAAGCTAGCCACTCTCTCTCAGCCCTAGAAAGCAGGCAGTGGCAAACCACTTTTGAATCCTGTCAAGAAAACTGCAGGATTTGTCCAGCAATTGGCAGGAGTCAAAGACTGTTTGAAAAGCAAACCAAAAAGAAAAAAGAAAGGAAAGGAAAGGAAAAGAAAAGAAAAGAAAAGAAAAGAAAAGAAAAGAAGAAAAGAAAAGAAAAGAAAAGAAAAGAAAAGAAAATCTTTAACAGAAGGTGATTTCTGAAGAAGGCAATTTAGGTAGGAATCAGCAGTGGAGGAATAGCATATTTTTATGAGTACAGGCAATTAGTACAGGCAGTACTGACCTGGATGGAGCAACAGGCTGATTTTTTACAGGACAGCTCCTCAAATATTGATGGAGAAGAATATACTTTCAGGAAAACTTAATTTTTTTTTCATCATACATGATGCCCAGCAACATGCCACTTATTTTTACCAAATGGGTGAGGAGAGAAAGGGCATCAGTCACTTACTTTCAATTTCTTTTATTTTCATTTCCCACGGTATACAGGCTGTTCTAAAATTCTCAAAATCACGCTGAAATTTCATCCATTTCTGAAAGAAAGATCACACAGTGCTGTAGCCCATTTGAATAACAATGGAAAGCAAAGGAAATGAGGGGAACAATGATAGTTATAAACTCTCTTCCTATCTCCATAATGCATACACAATCCATTTGTCAGAATAGCTTTGGCAGTGATGTCTTTAATGTCTCTGTACATTTCTGTTTCTTTCAGAATGAAACCTGAACACCTCACCAAAGCAAGCTGCCATATTAATTAGAAATATTATACAAATAGTTTCAGCCTATCTGTGTACAGATAGTCCTCAACTTACGACCACAATTGAGCTCAAAATTTCTATTGCTAAGTGAGAGTTTTGTCCCCATTTTTCAACCTTTCTTGCCACAGGTCTTAAGTGAATCATTGCAGTTGATAAGTTAGTAACCCAGTTGTTAAGTGAATCTAACTTCCCCATTGACTTTGCGTGTGAGAAGGTAGCAAAAGGTGATCACATGACCTAGGGACACAGCAAAGGTCACCAACATGAATCACCCGCCAAGCATCTTAATTTTGATCACATGATCATGGGAATGCTGCAAAGCTCATGCCTGTGAAAACAGTTATAAGTCATATTTTTCAGTGCTGTTGTAACTTTGAACGGTCACTAAATGAACAATTGTAAGTTGAGGACTTACATCTATTATGAAAGACACCTAAAAGCAGAAAGTTTCTGTGCCCTTTCAGTACCAATGCCAATACAGCTTTGTTCCTTATGCCATCCGTCTGGTAAATGTGCAAGATTTGTTTCTCTTGCCATGTACATGTATACATCCGAACTAAACTGTGTTGTTTCTCCGTGTCAGATAATATATGTGGGCACATGCATAATTTTGTATTTATTTATTTATCTTGTCATGTTTATGTAGTGTATATTAGAGATGGAGATCCTTTGACAGTTGTATACAACGTAATTTCATTTTAATGTATACCGATTAGTATGACAATTCAAAGTGACAATAAAGTATCCTAATAATAATACCTAATAATACCTTGTCAGAATATGAATGTTCATAGACTGGAATAGACATGGCAATAGGTCTCCATGGGGGACTGTTTGTATAGACATGGTAACAGGTTAGCCAATGAGGGTGTTTAGAAGCTGAAACAGTATTTGCTGTATGAGCAACAAGCAGACAGCAAGGAGCCTGGGCGTGGCTTAGGTTAACTTCAGTACTAAAGCTTCTAGTCTGTGCTGAGCTCAAAACTAGTCTGCTGCTCTAAACTGAAACAGAAGCTGTTCTCTCCTCTGCTTGTGTTTGCTTGTATTCTCTCTACCATGTTGGAAAACCTGCTTTTGGTATTGTGTCATGTGTTATATTATATATAAAGTGGAGTTAATGAATCCTGCTGAATCAGTTACCTGTGTGTGCTTTCTGGATGTGATTGCTGCAACAAACTCTAACATACCTTTCATCACCTGAAGCCAGGTAGAGCTGGGCCTCTATCAAAACATTTGAACTGACCTAGGCAGCTTAATCCACTTTATTTTGTAAACATTTCTTTTCTTATTCCTAGCTAATTTACTCTGGATGAATGTACTTAAAACTGCAGTTCTAAATGCACATTGAAGTACCTAGTGTTAGTGATCTTCATCAATACTTTGCACACTTCTTTGTTGGACGGTTTACAGTGTGATTTCACACAAACATCATCAGAATTTAATATACTAATATTTAAGCCCTATCAGCTGCAAGAATGGAACTTGCTGATCTAGTTTCTTTTCTTTTACTTTATTTTATTTACTTTATTAAAAACACTATTTTTATTTTACTTTATTCCTTCTTTTTCATAAATATTATAGATTGAGAACACCTATGTCTTCAAAATTGATTACAAAACCAGGATGGTGTTTTGCAGTATTTGTCTGATCTTGCTCTTTAAAAAAAAACAAGGCTAAATGCAATCTACGTGAAAATGGAGCTATTTAGCCTAAAAGAGGCATCTAGGGAGATGGAAGTAATAAGCTATTTCCATTGAGCTACTTCACAGAGTTTGAATAAGGAGAAATTAGGCTTACTTTCATCATCATCACTTTATATGCATAAAACTTTTTTCCTTTGCCTTTTCCGAGAGCCCCTTCAAATTTTTCCACAAAACGCTGGGCATCTCTAAACAAGTTTTTAAAAGAAAGAAATACATTGATAAATCAGAAATAAAAACATTGTTCTATTTGTTAACATGCTGAAACCAGTAGAAATCAGGGCAAGTGTACAAAGAATGAGCAAATGCCACACTCACTCGCATTGAAGGAATTATCTAGTTGGGTAATGAAAAGTCTGCAAGCAATAACCGAGCTCAGAGAACACCGAGGATTCCACAGTTAAAAGTACTTGATCAGAGTTCCTGACAAGCATGTTATGACATGTATGTACTTAGAGCTGTACAGGAGTGGGCTGCTACAGGTTCACCCGGGTTCAGGAGAACCTGTAGCTAATGTTATGGCTGGTTCAGAGAACCTTCAATCCCACCCCTGGCTGGCCCCATCCTCCCCTCCCACATTGACCTGCCCCTTCCCGGAGTCTCAATGCTGCCCATTTTGGATGCAAGGTAAGTACAGGGCCCACATGAAGGCTCGGGGAGGGGGAAAACGGGCCTCCCGGAAGTTCCAGAAGGCCAGAAACAGGCCCGTTTCTGGCCTCTAGAAGGCCTCTGGAGCCCAGGGGAGGCAGTTTTTGCACTCGCAGAGGCTCGAGGAAAGACTCCAGAGCCTGGGGAAGGCGAAAACGCACCCATCCACCCACGCTGTGGTGCAGGAGGTCAACTAGACCATGCTCACAATAGCCATGCCCACCACGCCCATGCCCACTCAGCAACCAGGCAGAGAACCTGTTGCTGAAATTTTTGAAGCCCACCCCTGCAGCTGTAGACATATAAAGCTCCCTGAATGCCTTGTAACATTTGAAATTGAAGTTTTGTGAACAAGCAATTGAACCAAAATGTTAAATAACACCAAGTGTCACTTCAGCCACTTGCAAAAGCATTTAAGCGAAAAAAAAAAAAAATAGAACCCAGGCAACCTTAGACAGAAATGAGGTAATGTCAAAAAACAGGAAATATGGAAGTGGGTTTTCCATAAACATATAACCCATGATGGAGTAAAATGTACACTCTCAGTTAGCTCATAAAAGCTTTATTAAATTAAAGGAACTTTAATCAAATTACCAACACACACTACATCAAAGTTTTATTAGCCCATGCATAATTGTCCTTAAATGGCTTGGCTTAATAATTAATTGCAAGTGTAAGGTTACAACTCCCCAAGCATGTGGTGTCCAGTACTAAGGCTGTTTCAGTGTTGCCACAGTGAGAATGAATTACTCAGCTTAAGAGATCACTGCTGAAGATTTGAATAGGTGGGCCAACTTTTCATGAACAGGTCAAGAGGGATTCAGGCATTAGCTGAAATCCCACAAGTGAGAAATGTCCTATTGATATTGATCAATTTTAACTTTTCAGGTCACCTTTTTACAAATATTGGATTTTCACAATGCCAGTCCTCATAGTAGCACCCTTAAGGTATGACGGGAACATAATTTAAGGTAGATATAAGTTCACCTTTTCAGCAGCCTGGTTAGGTCTTAACAAATGGTAGCAGCTTTCTTAACATGTTTAGGTTTGGATATTAAGCAGAGTCAGGCCTGGTTAATGCTGGGTTGGGAAGCTTCCAAGGAATAGCAGAGCTGCCTAGACAGTTGTCAAGAAAAACCGCATGCCCAGGGAGTCACAAGGAGCCTCGGTTCAAAAGAGTGTCTACATCTTATATTTTACCATTTCTATCGCCCTCAAGTGTATAGTGAATTAAAAAAACAACCCAGATCTATGGGAAGAAGAATTTAAAAGCAATTGGAATTCACAGCTCAGACTCTAGGTTAATTATTACATAAATCAAGACCCTACTTCAAGACTTTCAGTTTCTTTTTCATATTCCAAGGCTTGTTTCGCAAAGTGGAAATCAGCTTCTTCTTCTCTTCCACAGCTTCTTTCAACTTGGCCAGTTCCTCCTCTGTCATTTCCTCTTCAGAAGTAGAATCTGAGCTTTGGGGGACGGAGAAAGAGAGAGACCAATATTAAGGGTATAAAAAGGGCGAGCTCTTTCCTGAACATTTATGAGAAGGTGTAGAACAGGGGTGTCAAAGTCAAGGCCCTGGGGCCGGATCTGGTCTGCAGGGTGTTTAGATCTGGCCCGCGGGGCCACCCTGGAAACACTGAAGAACCAGTCCACAGTGCCTCTGCCAGTGAAAATGGAGCTCTGTTTTAACTGGCAGAGGGTTGCAGGAGGCAGTCACAGCCAAAAACAGAGCTTAGGAGCCCATTTTCACTTGCAAAGTGCTCAGGCCACCAAGTCTCCCAACATGAGTGACATAGAGCAGGCCACACCCACTCTGGCCATGCCCATCTTGCCCCCTTCCCCTGAGGTCATACACAACCCTGATGCAGTCCTCAATGAAATCAAGCTTGACACCCCAATCTAGAAGTAGCTATATATTGCTTAACATTACTAGCTTTCTTTGTTATGTGGTAAAAGAACTTCCATTGGCCAAATGGGTAAATTCTTATTCAGCAGATGCAAGTCTTGAATATTGATAACGAACAATGATAATGAAACCAACCTCAAGGTTGGGGAGAATAAAATGTATTAATTTATCACATATTGCTTTTCTTAAAAATACATTGCACTTGCAATATTTCCTACTTCCCTTGCAACAAAACCGAAACCAAGCAATCTTGAAGAAATTGAAGCAACATTCTGAAAAATTAATGAGAAAGCCAATTTTCCCATACCTACTAAAATTTAATTTGGGTGAATTTTAATAGACGTGCCTCAGTCAGTTCTTATCTGTAAGCAATGTTGCTTAACTGAGGGATACGAGGAAAAAGGGGACTTCATGACAGCAAATGCATCATTTTCTTCATCCTATTTTATGCTAAACTTGGACAGCCTTCATGGCTGGAAATTTGAGAAACTGAAGTCTCAGACATATAGAGGGATTTCGACTGCTAGCAGGGGCAAAATACTATAGAGTAAGAATTATGTATTTGTCACCTTCAGTAAACAGAATGATTGCTTAACTAAAAGTCTCAGGTTGTTTTATAAAGAACAAATACCGGTTAATCTGTTGACTGAGATAATAATAATACTACCAAGTACTATGAATAAGAAAAGAGTACCTTGATCCTTTTCTCTTCTTATCTTGATTTTTCTTTTTCTTCTTCTCCTTCTTCTTGTCCTTGCTTCTTTTGTCCTCATCCTCTTCATCGTCGTCTTCCCTGGACTCATCCCTAATCTTCTGATTTTCTCTGTTCTTCCTGGTCTTGTGGGCTTCCCCCTCGGATTCACTACCTTCATTCCCATCTTTCCTCCGTCGTCTCCTGTATCTTCTCCTGCGTTCTGCAGCTGTCTCTTCTTCATCCTCATCCTCTTCCTCGGTTTCATTTTTCTTTCTTTTTGATGCTTTTTTCTTTTGTTCAGACTGTTCCTCTTCATAGAAAAGAAGATAGAAACACTTAGCTTAGTCAGCACAAAAGGAACCTGGTCCCTCTTCTGTCCTTCATCTCAGATATAATTATTATTTTCCCATTCCATGAATGCATTGTCTCATAGACATTCGTAATACAATAATTGAAATATAGCTCCCACAATTTCAAGGGTGATCATTTTCTAAGAACTCACCTTTATTGTCACACATTTTAAACTACAGCATTTCAATCTGAAATGAGATACTATTACCAAAATAGCAACTTCATAATTTAGTTAGACTGACTAAGCTAATATTTTTCTCTAGAAGGATTTATATGAATTCAGTGTTCAACTTCATCAAACAGTGCAAAGCACTGGTGACCTAAATGATACCTAAAGTATGACTCTGATGACTTTGTTCCCAAACTGAGCAATACATTCGGTATTTACTCAAACACGGTCAATACTATAAACACTGAAAGCTCCTATGTTTAGAAATGATTCTCTCTGTTCTCTGCCCTCTTCCCACAATACAGTGACTCACAAGCTACTCAACTGCATTTTAGCTTAGCTTAGTTGTGAGAACCCAACCCATGTTTATGCTCAATACATCTTGCAAATCCCAAAAATTAAAGCATATGCAGCAGCAGAAATCACAAGTAAACCAGTTTTAGCTATCTTACAACATGCTTATAAATTTTTGATACTATTTCACCCTTCTCCAACCAGAAAGCTATCCAAATATGTTGCACTACAAATCCTAAAATTTTCCAGTCAGGATTGCTGGAATTGATGACACCTTTAGCATCAACACATATGGGAGGTTCAGGAAAGGCTGTGTCTAGAGCTGAAGATGTTCTCCATAACATACGTTTTAGAGTAGTTACCTTCTTCACTTTCAGTAGCATTGTCTTCCTCATTGTGTCCTTCAATATCCACTGTGGAGAAAAAGCAGATATCGTACACTGTGAAAACTGGGTATTCGGTGACATCTTTTTGAAAGAAGAGGATACATTTTACACATATCAATTGTTATGTACACCTATGAATTTAGAAGTGGTTTAATTGTGAGCAGAAGATGGGCTCAGTAAAATGGAACATGTTCACTTTTACTGGGAATGCCCCATCCATTCCGTGGATCAGAAATCAATAAAGGTGGTGAAGAACTGAAAACAAGATGCTTCAACTGAAGACCCACTGAGGATGTCACATAGCCTGATGATGAAATGGTGGAAAGCTAGATAACCAGTTCAGAGAACAAACCACCAACAACAGATACAAGTTTCCCTGTCAATCACAGAAGGCTCTCCTCTCTTTTTTGACAAAAAGCAACAGCCAACCCATAGATCAGGCACTACAGCTATTCCATAGGGCTGGGTCAGAGCTACAGTAAAGTAGGAGTATGGTTTAGCCTAGAGCAGAGGTGTCCAAACTTGGCAACTTTAAGACTCATGGATTTCAACTCCCAAAATTATCCAGCCCACATAGCAGGCTTGCGAATTCTGACTGCTGATGTCTTAAAGTTGCCAAAGTTGATCACCCCGGTCTAAAGGGAAGGGCTGCCCAGTGAAGTGGGCCTCCTGTCTTACTACCCTCATCACTCTGCTAAGTAGTGATGACAGAAGTGGGGAGAGAAGTCTGTTTGCCCATTAGGACTCTTTTGTGAATCAGCTGGGGATTGGAGAGTCATTGGTGCAGTGGAAAGCCCAATTAAAGAATGGAACCTTCCAGAGTCAAGAGCAAAATAATCCTGGGAAACAGTGTCCAGAAACCAGCAGGGAAGCTCCCTGCCTCCAGCAACCTAAAGCAGCCAATAGGAGCACATTATTGTCGAAGTGTTGTAGATCAGGCGTACCACAAAGCTTTTTCTAGAAGAAGAGAGAAAGCACTGTTTCTGACTAAAGCTTTGTGTTTTCTCTCTCTTTTAAGGTTCTTGGAAGACCAACGCTGGAGGGGTAAGGTCAAAAGTGTTAAGAATTGAAATTTAGGTTGGTTTGTGTGCATTTTTAGAAATTTTGTTTTTGAGCTGATTTTTAAATTATCCTTCCTGTCATAAAGAAAAGTGCAAATGGTTCACACCAAGGATGTTACATGCTGTATTTTGTCTAATTGATCTGGAGAACTAATGTCAAGATGTTTTCAGTGGTGAGACTGAGCAAATAACAACTTCTATGAAAAAGCTTAACAAAGAGAGTATAGACCAAAAGCTCTACTGAGATCCAAAGGAATTTGAAAGCCCTGAACCAAGCATAAAGCCACAAAGGTGTGGCTTTTTTTGCAAAGAAGTTTACTAATAAGCTAATAATTGAAGCAGAATCGGATCAAGTCCTTTCCACAACCAATGAGGGAAGAGTGAACTCCAAGACTGATAGGATGTTTCCTGCTAATAAATAGATAACAAAGGAATATTTGGTTGAGGAAAGGAAATGATCCTCATGCCAACTCCAAGGCTAACAAAAAAAAAAACTTCCCAGAGGAGATGCAGAAAGAAGCAATAGCAGTAGACTTATATACCGCTTCATAGGGCTTTCAGCCCTCTCTAAGTGGTTCACAGAGTCAGCATA